TTTGCACTACAATCATTATATCTGCACTGTTTGTTTACTTCACTGGTTTGCACTCTATCTGCCATGTGCCCTGTGCTGCTTTATTTAAAAAAAATTTTTTTTACATGACCTTATTTGTTTATTTGTATAGTTGTATTTATATTTAATCTGTATCTATCTGTATTTTATGTTCTACTGTTAGTGTTATCTGTATGCACCAAGGGTCTGAGAGTAACGCAATTTCAATTCTCTGTGTGTATGTGCTGTACATGTGGAAGAATTGACAATAAAGCAGACTTGAACTTGAACTATTCGGAGAAAAAAAGAGTTTTCCCCATCACGCGATCACCTTAGCAGACGCAGTACGAGTGAAGTATCGGTATCGAATTTGTATAAAAATATATATTTGTAGATTGTTGGTTTCTGAAAATAAAACAAACAAAATATATTGAAATTGTTTTGTTTAAATATATTTGTATAAAAGTTTTAGATGGTAAAAACAAGAAAAACACACTTCATTGGAGAATTTGTAAAAAAAAAAATGTTGATTGTGGTTGTTGAAAACACAACAAAAATGTTATTTTCTTTCTTTCTTTTTTAGATTGTTTTTTTGTGGGTGCGTGCATGTGTTTGTGTTTCAGCAATCACCAACAAGAATACAAAACATAAACTCTTCAGGAGAATTTTTATAAAAACATGTTTAGATTGGTACTGTAGCTGCCAAAAGACAAAAAAACTTTGTATACTATTTTTATTTTTTTAAATATGTTTGTATAAAAATAAGTTATAGATTTGTGGTTACTGAAAACAAACACTTCATAGGAGAACTTGTATAAAAAATATTTTTAGAATAGTGGTTGCTGAAAATGAAACAAAACACAAAACAAAACCTAACAAACTTTTAAAAAGTAGTTTGTATATACACAAACATTTTAAATTGAGAGTTGGTTTAGGACATTTCTCCAAAAGTCTAATATTCAACTTTCAAAAATGTGATCATAATGAATGTAAAGTTGAAGAGGCAGCTCACCTATTTCACACAGTATTTGCTGCCCCCTTCCTGCCAAACCTGTTCCTGAACGAGACACGTCATGTCCTGGCCTTTATAAAGCTGCATTCACTGAGCTCAGTGCGCAGCATCTGTGGCATGTTGTCAATTACCACAATACCTCTGACTCCTCCGTATGAAATGTAATGCACATACAATAAACATCAATAGCCCAGCATTGTATTTCCCCCCTGTAAGCGTCAGTTACAACTACATACAGCGGTCAACACATCTTTTGTCTTGATTGACTTTTTCCATTAATGACAAGCAGCAAACAAAACAACTCATACTATTCAAATGGCATCATCACAACTTTATTTTGTGACTTTGTACAATAAAAATGAAAAAGCAAAACAAAGAGAAACAAAATGATAAAAAAGTTGCAGAAGTACATCACCGAGAGCTAAGCATGGTATCGGGGAGGCCAGCTCTGATGGGAACTCGTGCCTATAGAGAGAAAAACACACATCAACTGGCCAAGAACGCCAGCTCACTGTTCCTGAATCAGTTTACATGAGGAAGAGCAGGAAACATCGCATCAACAAATCTCTCACGTGTCATGAATCCTCTACTGCATAATGTCGATCCATGGACAAATCATGAGACATTCATAAAGGATGTGTAGATGCACAAGCATTTAAAACAGTGAACTGGAACTTTATATGAGAAACAAACTGACAAAATAATAGTAATTGAAAAACACATTTCATGAATGGCTAAGGTCCGTGGCTAAATAATTTAAATTACACAAATATTGGAAGAGCTTAACATTTCGGGAAGGGGAAAAGAAGAAGCCACAAAAAGGTCGTTGTTTAAAGGCCAGAAATGCCTGAGGTAAGATTCAGCCTTTATTGAGAGGAGGAGGAAGTGACCTCGGATCTAAAATCACTAAACAGACACACGGTGCAGGAGGGGAATTTGACGCTTTACAAATTCAAAATCCTAACAATATTGCATATCTCTGAGTTTGTATGTTTTATTTGTTTTACGCTCTCAGTTTCTGTGAGGTCTGGTGAATAAACCGATGCTTTAGATGTGGAAAAAGAGCCTAATGGGTGGACAGAGATAAGTGTTTCCAGGTCAGTGGGGCACACAGAGACACAGCGTCCCCACAAAAAAAACGAATGAAATAAAACAAAACCATAGGGCTTTATATAAATGTATGGTTTTGGTCGACAGACTGACTGAGGGTCCCGGCTGGTTTCATTGGCAACTAGGATGTGGTGATGGTCCAAGTGGTTTAAAAGATCTTCTTCTTTTTGTTCTTTTCCAAGGTCCTTTAGGATTGAAAATAAGAAAAATGGAAATTAGAGGAAATAAACATTGACAGGCACAATTTATAACATAACGAAATATGATTGTAAATGATTATACAATCTTTTAAATTATACTACTGGTCAAACGTTTGAAATAAAATATTTCAGTTTTTTTTTTAAAAGCGCCTTATTATAGTCAATATTATAGTGTTTTTTAATATTATGAAATGGTACAATTTAAAATAAATGTTTTCTATTTGACTACATGTTGAAATAGAATTTATTGCTGTGATCAAAGCTGAATTTTCAGCATCATTACTCCAGTCTTCAGTGTCACATGTTCCTTCAGAAATCATTCTAATATGATGCTCAAGAAACATTTCTGATTATTATCAATGTTGAAAACAGTTGTGCTGCTTTATATTTTTGTGGAATTAAAATTTCTTTAAAAAAATAAAATGTGTATTTTATTTAGTTATTTATTATCTATAATTATTTATCTGTTTAATATTTTTGTGGAAACTGTCAAACGCTACTTCTCAAAATAATAATAATAATACTTTCATTCAGCAAAGACACATTAAATTGACCGAAAGTGACAGTAAAGACATTTATAATGTTACAAAAGATTTCTATTTCAGATAAATGTCGCTCTTATAAACGTTCTATTCAAAGAATCCTGAACAAGTATTAAGCAGCCAAAAACATTGAAAATAATTATTATTATTAATAACTGGGCACCAATAATAATTAAGCAGCAAATCAGCATATTAGAGTGATTTCTGAAGGATCATGTGACACTGAAGATTGGAGTAATGATCCTGAAAATTCAGCTTTGATCACAGAAATAAATGACATTTTAAAATAAATAAATCAGAAAATATATATTTTAAACTGTAATACATTTGTAACAATTAAACAATTTCACAATTAAAAATTATTATATACACATTTATTCTAAACTTGGACATGCGGTATATATGGAACTATCCTTTTTAGGACTAAATAAGTAGTAGTAGTTATTTTTTTATTGCCATATGTCAGCTTTTAAGGCTATCTTCATGGCAAAAAACTTTAGTTACAAACACAAAATAAAACCAAAAATTATACAAGATTTTTAAAATTAACATACAATTAAAAAAAAAATCAGGTAAAATCTTACTAAACAAGTCCCTGAGTGAGCGTACTTCAATAAAAAGTTTTCTACTTGCATTAAAACCGGGACAGTCCAATAAAATATGTTTAATGGAAAAGGGGGGTCTTGCAGAAGATGCATAAAGTTGGGTCTTTCAGGACTAAGTAAAACACTACTACTACTAAGCTTGATGCAATGCATTCTGGGATTTCCTTATTCACAAAGGATGCATATGCAGTTCTCACTAGGTTTATCAGCAGCCCTCTGGTGTGTCTTTGTTAGCGTTTGTCTACCTGGAAGCGTCCAGCTTCTGCTGCTCCAGCATGCGTTGTTGGGCCTCCCAGCTGACCTTCTCCTCCTCGAGCTGACGTCTCTTCTCCTCCAGCTCCTTATGCTGGGCCTCCAGGTTCTTCCTCATCTGTTCATGACGCCGCTGCAGCTGAACAGACGAAACCACACCAGCAGAGGGAACTCAGACTCCATAACAATCATTTATGAAGAATACACAGCCTTCAGTTAACTGTTGGTGATTGCTGGTGGTACCTCTCCCTCAGAGTCTTTGAGTTTCTGGATCTTCTCCTTGACCTTCATCTCAAACACCTGCTCCATTTCCATCTCCATCTTCTTCATCTTCGTCACATGTTCTCTCCTCTCCTCCTCCATCTGTGCGAGTGGGCTCCTGTTCACATCCACACACACACACACACGAGCAAAAGCATCGCCCGGGCCGATGCACAACACACATTCATTAGACGGTTTACTCAAAGAGCACGATTGAGCTTTAGAGACAAACAGACCCGTGATGCAGGAGCAGTAGGGAAGAGAGGACCCTGCTGGGAAGACTTGAGGACCCAGTGCAATGAGGTTGAGTTAGTAAGCTGTACTGCAGCGGTGTTAGTGTGCAGCCGCAAGATCAACACCGCTCACATAGCACAAAGCCAACATCACTTATCAAACAATCACAGCAAATTAACATGTACTGCTAAATCACACACATAAGTAGTCAAGATTATAAACGGATCATCTGGAGCTGGATTATGGAGGACTGAAAGCCTGTACATACCAAGTCTTATGAGAATGGAGCAAACATTTAGGGAGCAGTATAGAGCATGAGTTTGAAGCACATTACCATTACTCTCTGGGAAAAAAAGGTGACACACATGGACGAAAGGAAAAATATATGTTTTTGCATGCTTTAATGCAAAAAGAAAGATAAACCAAAACAAATAAAATAAATAATAAAAAACAAAAGCCAGATCAAACAAAACAAAATAAAATAAACAACAAAATAAAACTAAGCAAAAATGAAAACAAAAATGTCCTACTCAATGATTTTTTTTTTTTTTTTTAGGATTTTTGAGATTAAAAAGATGGGGTTAGAAAAAAAATAATGTTAGCAGCTGAACAGCCCTTATGCTCTGGTTAAGATGGGGGCTCTTCAGACGGAGCCGTACACGCGTGACGGTGGAAGTGAATGGCCGTTAGCGAGCGTTTGGACTGTATTTGAGGGTTAGTGCCAGGTGTGTACCGAGGATGAACCGCTGTGACTGTTAGGAAGCCTGGATGTGTTGAGCAGCTCAGTATCACTGCGCTGACTTTAGCATTATTAGCATGTGTCAGTCTAGCTCTGGGATCCAGGTTTAGGCGTCTTTACACAATGATCCTTTATGGGCATATTATAACCACAGACATCTGCTTCATGTACAGTAAACGGACATCAGTAAACCGTATCGGTCATGTTTGTGTACACTTGAAGTAAGGCTTAAAATAGGCTCTGGAGCTTGTATTGGTGAAAAGCACTCACTTTGTGAGTTGGCCTTTGTTTTTGTTGTTGTCGACGCCGTTGTAAGTGACAGCGGCCAGTTTCCTGCTGCGATAGTTCTCGTAATGGACGTTGTTGGTCACGTCCTTCAGGTCCTGCATGTGAGTTCTGTGATTGAGGAGAACAAATAAATGACAGGTTTATATCACAGCATGTCCATCTCAGACATTAAAGACATTTAAAATGCTATTTCACATAAATGCTGTTCTTTCTATTAATCATGGCTTCCACAAAAATATGAAGCAGCACAACTGTTTTCAGCATTAATAGTAAGAAACGTTTCTTGAGCAGCAAATCAGCATATTAGAGTGATTTCTGAAGGATCATGTGACACTGAAGACTGGAGTAATGATGCTGAAAATTCAGCTTTGCATCACAGGAATAAATTACATTATAAAATGCATTCACATAGAAAACAGTTACTTTAAATTGTAATAATATTTCACAATATTAATATATTTCTGATCAAACAAATACTGCCTTGGTGAGCATAAGAGATTCTTTCAAACATACAGACCCCAAACTTTCGAAGAATAGTTTATTAGAGTAGGCCACAGATGCATGGCTCTAATACGGATGTTTCTGAAAGGTGATCTTGGAGGAATTATAAGAATTTGAGCTCCATCATCAGGTATAAGTGCTGGTGTAGAAGCACAGTTATGTACCTGATGAGCATGTTTCGAAGGATTGTGAAGTCACAGTGCTCCCCATTCTCCACTGAAAACAACAACAACAAAACCAGTGTATTAAAAGTGAATCAAGAAACAGCAACAGCATTACACTATAATATCCACCTCTTCCCATCCTGCAGTTAAAGATGACTACAACTTAAATAAAAAAAGATAATTTGGGGGAAGTTGTTCCAAGTTAGTAACTTTTGGGCTGAATGCCAATTTGCATGCTATTAATCATATATAATCACATTTAATTTTATGATATCAGACAGTGGGTTTTGTCACACTCCGTACCAATTCTTCATTGTTCGCACAGTACACACCTTGCATAGTGACTATTCTCACAGAAGTAAGCAAATTGGTATTAATATGGGTTTCATAATTACATACAGATATCAAATCGGGATTACATACAGATAATCTGGAGCTGAATTATGGAGGACTGAAAGCCTATATACAATAAAGTCTAATGCAAATAGATAATATAAAAATGTATACAAAAAGTAACATAGTCGTTAAAAACAAAACAAAAATCAATTGGAAACAATAAACACACCGACACACAAAAAAAATCCCAAACCAAGTCAAGTTTAACTAAACAAAAATAACCTAATTGTAAAAAACAAACAAAAAAACACACACAACCAATCTAAGTCAAAGACTATAGAATTACCCAAGACGTGTCACTCGTATAGTTTTGAATGGGGAAAAATGCAACGCTCAATATGGCCGCTCAATCGCAGGAAGCCCCGCCTTCTGAATTAAAGAGCCAATCGCTAATCGGTAAAGTCAGCGCGTCACTGCAGCTGCCGTTAGAAGTATCCCAGTTGCTATGGAAACAGTCAGCGCTCTGAGACGTGCGCTCAGGACTGCGCATGTGCACTGGCTGATCTAGCCTGAAAAATAAAGCAAGAAGCCGTGGTTTACAGTGAATTTATAACAGCTAAGGGGTAATAAAAACAGTATTCTTCCACCAAACAATGTAGTTCCTCAGAATCAGTTGTGGTTCCAACAAAGTGGTTGCCGAGCAACACACAGAAGTAAACAAAGGTGTATGTTTGTAGAGTAATTTACAACAGCTTCGAACGTGGCTCAGCCAATCAGAATCAAGAACCAGAACTATCCGTTTTATAACGCTATTTGAGCAAAAGAAACTACATTTATGACACAGTTGTCAGATTTCACGGGTGATTTCAAATATGAAATTTAATTGTAAGCTTAGTGAACAGTTTGGGAGAATTTAATGTTTCCCCATTCAAAGTGATAGGAGCTGCACTTTCATGGCCGAGAGGCGTTTCAAAGATGGCCACCGAGTGACATGACTGGCCTTAAAGGGACTTTGACTAAGTTAAGCTAAACAAAAATAACCTGCATAACAAAACAAATATCAATTACGCCCCCCCAAAAAAACTAAGCTAAACTAAACAAAAATAGCCTACTCGTTGAAAACAAAACAAAAATAAATTGCACCAAAACCACAAAAAACTCAAAAAACAAAACACAACCCAAACTAAGCTAAACAAGAAATGTAAACAAAAATAACCTAACGTTACTTGTTGAAAACAAAATCAATTGCACAAAAAAACACAAATCAAATGAAGCTAAACAGAAATAACCTGCTTGTTGAAAAAAACAAAAAACAAAAAAAACAAACAAAAAAAAACTAAGCCAAGTAAACAAAAATTAAAACAAAACAAAAAACTCCTTATTGAAACCAAAACAAAAAACAACAAAGTAAACCAAGCAAGATGCTTTAATAACTAGAGTTTGGACACTGCAGTTCAGGGTCCATAGGAACAAACTGGCATTTATGGTTCCTCTGCTACTGTAATGTATAAACTGACCAGCAGGCGGCACCTGATCTATCTCCTGCTGTGTGTGCGTCACTTATCGAATGAATGAAGCCGACCTCTCCCTCCTTCCCAACCACAGGCCATCTGTGTGCTTACATGCTGCTGAAAGCATCTCAGGCATTCAAACCTACCCTCTTAAAACAGATAACCACTGGATCCAAACACAGCAATCAAACCCACTGCCCTCCTGATCACACTTCATGTTTCTGTCTAGAGCTCTCTAGACACAATAACCCTGCTCTCAGTGCGGCTCGCTCCAGAGGATCTGGCTTAGCGACTCTGGTGTTATCAGAGGTCAAAGGTCTAGAAAGAAGGGGAAGTAGACGCAGGCATCAGCTCCAGCCAAACCGCTCCGGTGAGCGAGCAGATGTGACTAATCAAATCAGCATCTGATCTTCTGCTTCAAATGTCAAACATCACTGGACCTTCATCTTCAAAGCTTCATTGACGACTCCAGCCGTGCTCATAGTGGATACTGTATGTTCACGGCGGATCACGTGACCCGTTCCACAGGAGCTCTCGATCAAACGCCAAAACACACACACTTCCTGTTTGCAGATCTGCAGGCTTTCACTTACTGCACACCTTAGGGTGTTTATCACATGACCCTAAACACACTACGAGGACAAGCTTTTCATTATGCCTTTCACTTATAAGATGTCACTTGTTTATTCTTTCATTTCTGTAAGAGGCCTTTATTTAATTAACTAGCTCCAGTGTTGTTATTATTAACTACAAATATTAAAAAACACTTTTGCTAATTAAAATAAATATATGAAAAAATAAATAGACGAAAGTTTTTTGAACTGAAATAAGCTGAAGTAACGAAATAACACTAAAAAAGTAGAAATGTAAAAAGAAATAAAATTACAAAAAATTACAATAACATTTAAATAAACTAAAAATATAAAATAAAAGCAAACAAAAAAAAACTAAAACAGTAAATAAATAATGCTAAAATAACACCGGATTGCACCTCAGTTCAGAACTGAAAACGTTGCATTTCTTTATTAAACTAAAAACATGGCCTTAGTTATCAGCAAAAAAAGTTATTTCTGACACTAATAAAGTGATTATTTTGTTGCTAATGCTTGATTTTTATTGCAGATCCTAATTGGTCTGTGGTGTGCTAAGCTTAACTGGCAATTAATTAAAGACATTACCAAAACAACAACAAATCAGCTGAAGCCCTTTGACCTAAAATATTTACTTGAAGTTAATATTTCTGTTAAATAGTTCTCTTTGTACCTGTATGTCATGTGGCCATTAACTGACATTAAACAAAAATATAAAAAAATAAACATTTAAAAAATATTTAAAATATATATATATATTTTGTTCATTTTAAATATTACATTGTTTTATTTATTAGCTTTTCATCAAATCAAAAACTCCCTATAGTTCCCTCACAAAGCCCAGTTTTGGGAAACCCTAAATTAAGTTATAATTAAAATGATAATAAATCAAATTATAAAGCTATACTGACCAATAATCTAAAAAAAAAAGAAGTCACTGGCAGAGTCCGCCCTGAATGATTCAGTGGAGGCTAGACATCGTCTGGTGAACGTGTCACAAGCTCAAGCTTTCTGTGCTGTCACTGGTCAGACAGACTGTTTTATCACATTCAAACAGCACAATGAGAGGTGCATTACGGTCCGGAGCACAAACGGTGTGGGACGGCAACAATAGCCTTAGCAAACATCACTAATGAAGCCAAACAACTACATTTAGATCAGTCCGACTCAGATCTGCTGTGAACCAGGTAGATCAACAGCCTCAGGGTCACACACACACGAAGAGGAGGTGACCTTTCACCCCTTACCTTCTGCCACGCCCCAGGGGTACTGCCTGCCCCGTACACGCTTCCCATTGACCTCGATGATGGTGTTACTGCCCACCACAGCCAGCGGCAGACGGTCCTGAGGGACACAAATCACACAGACATGTTCAGAGAGAGAGGTGCTGGGAACATCTGGTGACTGATATTGATTCTCAATGTGTGTGTGTGTGTGTGCGGGGCAATGATGATAATGCGCTCTTTCAGTGAGTGTGACTCTGACCCATTTCCCTGGTGGGCCTAATTAGAGAGCCAATTTTTGAGTAGTTAGTGCACTCTGAGTAGGGTTATCATCAACTAAAACTAAAACTGCTTCAAAGAAAATAAACATGAAATTAAATCAAATATTAAAAACGAACTTATTTCAGCTATATAGACGTAAAAAACGAACACAAATGACAACAAAATTATTAAAACTTTAAATTGAAATGAAAACAGAAATATAAAAATAAAATGAATTCAAAACATTAACAAGAACTCTAATACTAAAATAACACTGACTCTTTCCACAAAATCAGTCCACTAGTGAGCTTCTCTAGTGAGTGGTGCTTTATCATAAAACTGAACTTGTCTATCACTGCGTCCTAACCAGGTGTGACTTAGTGTTTAGCTAGTTGCCAGTTTTTTCTTCTAATGTTTATACTTATTTTCGCTTTATTTCAATGAACAAAAATGCTTTTTATCAGTTTGAGTTAACAATAACAGCACTGATCCCATCTATTTAAACTTCCACAATCATAGTCTCATTGCTCCTGGGAGCGGTGTTTAGATGAGTATTTAATATGTGCCGCACACTATACTTTCAACACAACAAACGCACAATTTATGTTTTTACTCATGTCACACCTTGACTAAAACAGATTTCCACTTCAAAGAAGTTGGAGCCCCGGAGGACAGCCAGCTATTACATAATCGTCATGGACCGATGGCAATTGGATGGTTGAACAGCTAGTGGTAAGTTTTCTGGATGGTTAACACCGTGTCCTAACTACACGCGACGCCGCGACACACGATAAAAGGTATCTTTTCCATGTTAATCGGAGTTTTTGTCCTAACTAGCCGCGAAGGCCACACGCGAAATTTCTAATTTAGAAACTGTTTCTATTTCCGCGACATCACGGCTGGAACAACAACATACAAACTATATGACAGTAGATAATCTCAGGTGATTATGTGCTTTATTCAAAGTTAAACGCCTCTAATATGAGTTTAAATTAGGGCTGGACAATAATTCAATATCAATATGTATCGCGATATAATTTTTTTCAATAACGGTGATATGATTTTTAAACACATTTCCGATATTTCGATATACAGTGGGTACGGAAAGTATTCAGACCCCCTTAAATTTTTCACTCTTTGTTATATTGCAGCCATTTGCTAAAATCATTTAAGTTATTTTTTTTTCCTCATTAATGTACACACAGCACCCCATATTGACAGCTGTTAACAAGGTTTAATATTTATGAATTCGATTATAAACGTATCCATTTGTTGCAAGAGCAGTGCGCTTCCAGAGAGAGCCCGCCCACACACGCTTCTGATTGGCTGTGATATTTGATTGATTCTCAGTGTCGCGTCGTGTCTGGTGTGGACACCCAAATTGCTTGTCGCTGGAATCTTGTCACGTCGCGTGTAGTTAGGACACGGTGTGATGCTGGTGAGCTGATTTAAACCACTGAAACAATCTCCAAAACACCTTTGTTTTGGCCAGATTTTGTCTGAAATCACACCCATTCTGCCTTCAATTTCATTTGAAATCTACTGGGGCCTTAAAACCATCTAGTCATTCAGATTACCACCAATTAGTAAATCTTGAAAAAAAAAATCATTCATTAACTTTCGTAACCAAACAAACCTTAATCTTCTTGACTAGCTTGCTCTCCTCCTCGTCATCAGTCTCCGGGAACTCATAGATTTTGATCTTATGTTCCTGGATCTCTCTCATTATCTGGGAAAAGAGGAAAACAAAAGGACAGAGGGAAAAATAAAGCATTAAATTGGTGCTGACAAGTAAAAAGACCTGCTATCTCCCAGCAGGCTCTATGGGCTCTCAGTGTCACTGGTTTGCGATTGCATTGACTCTCTAAGGAGTCAGCATAAAAACCATGTGTGGACAGATTTATCTGTAGTATGATGAGTTCTCACTGCAGCCGCCGTTCGCAACACCCCAACACTGCGACACACACACACACACACACACACACACACACACACACACACACACGATGCTTCAGCTGGTTTGCAGATGTTGCAACTGTCCCACATGCATCATTTGAAACACTGGGAATGCTTTCATGATGCTGAGATGCAACATAACTCCTGCGTCTCATAACATAACTGCGAGGGCAGTTAATATCAAACTGAATGGAGGCTGAATGTTTGTTTATGCACATAAAACAGTATCAAGTTTACCTTGGGGATTATATAATGGAAAACAAGATTTTCTTAGCTTTACGAAATAAAGCAATGTACTATGTACACATGGGCTCTGTTCCAAAACCTAGTGAGCTGCCAAACTAGACAGCATTTTAAGGCATCATAGGTGCAAAATGCTTACACAAAGGCTATTAAAAATAATTATGTGTTAAAATATATTGTTTTAATTTAAACCAGCACTGCATGTATCCTTTGAGAAGGCAATCCCAGATCAGAAAATCAAGAATTTTTAATTTAGTACTAAAAATTATGAATAAAAATTTATGAAAATTAATTTCATCCATTTAAAATTAGTTATTTTAACCAATATTGCACACACACACACACACACACTTTATTTATATTTAAATAAATAAATAAATGCTGGTCAAACTGAATATTGTTGTAAGATAATATTGTACAATTTTTGCTGTAATGTCTCACTTTGATGCAGAATTCTTAGATGTTGCTATTAAACCTTTAAGTTTTGGCAGAAAACTGGAGGAATATTCCTGTGTTTCTGTTTGCAATTACCAGAATTTTTGTAATTTGCTCTGTTACATTTGTAAAATAACTTGTAGTGGTTTAAAATGTTTGGAATGATGTGAATGTAAATTATTTAGCAACCTGCGCCGCATAATTTAAGAAAACTGTTCTGATACTGTTGAAAGTATACATTTATTAAATTCCATCCCATTTATTGTTAAATACTGAACAATAATGTGACTCTGACTGCATTTAGATTAAATGACACTAACAACCTATTTAGGATTCACTCACATGGCAAGAACGTTAAACTCCTTTCACAGCCAGATTATGACTAAGGATCATAAAGAGGGAGGAAATTTATTCTAAAAAACAAAAAACTGAATTATGTTTTTTGGGCAAGAAACCTTCTTATAGGTGGACTTCAGGGGGGAAAACCCCTCAAATCTGCAGGTAGTGAGTTTGGCGTTAGCATGCGATCACTCTCACCTGCTTCTTGAACTGTTGGCACTCCTCTGGAGTCAGTGTGTCTGCTTTGGCGATGAGTGGGATGATGTTCACTTTTTCATGTAACCGTTTCATGAACTCAATATCCAGTGGTTTCAGTCTGACAGACAGAGAGAGAGAGAGAGAGAGAGAATGTGAGGGTTTAATGTTTCAAACTAAACACTGAGCGTAAGTCCAAAACACACACACACACACACATTTTATTTATATTTAAATAAATAAATAAATGCTGGTCAAACTGAATATTGTTGTAAAATAATATTGTACAATCACTCTCACCTGCTTCTTGAACTGTTGGCACTCCTCTGGAGTCAGTGTGTCTGCTTTGGCGATGAGTGGGATGATGTTCACTTTTTCATGTAACCGTTTCATGAACTCAATATCCAGTGGTTTCAGTCTGACAGACAGAGAGAGAGAGAGAGAGAGAGAGTGGTTTAAAATGTTTGGAATGATGTGAATGTAAATTATTTAGCAACCTGCGCCGCATAATTTAAGAAAACTGTTCTGATACTGTTGAAAGTATACATTTATTAAATTCCATCCCATTTATTGTTAAATACTGAACAATAATGTGACTCTGACTGCATTTAGATTAAATGACACTAACAACCTATTTAGGATTCACTCACATGGCAAGAACGTTAAACTCCTTTCACAGCCAGATTATGACTAAGGATCATAAAGAGGGAGGAAATTTATTCTAAAAAACAAAAAACTGAATTATGTTTTTTGGGCAAGAAACCTTCTTATAGGTGGACTTCAGGGGGGAAAACCCCTCAAATCTGCAGGTAGTGAGTTTGGCGTTAGCATGCGATCACTCTCACCTGCTTCTTGAACTGTTGGCACTCCTCTGGAGTCAGTGTGTCTGCTTTGGCGATGAGTGGGATGATGTTCACTTTTTCATGTAACCGTTTCATGAACTCAATATCCAGTGGTTTCAGTCTGACAGACAGAGAGAGAGAGAGAGAGAGAGAATGTGAGGGTTTAATGTTTCAAACTAAACACTGAGCGTAAGTCCAAAAGCAGGCGCACAGGTCTCTCTGTAGAGCAGCAGTGAGGGATCACATTCACACTGCTGTTTGGCAGCTTGGCTGAACTTATAGCTCGGCTTGTAGTAAAGCCACATGTGCTGCAAGAAGAGCAATAAATAAACGGCAGGAAAATAATTTGTGCCTGTCAAATAAGGCCATTGTGATGTTCACAGCTTTAGCCATTGTACACGTACACACACACACACACACACACACACACACACACACACACACACACGATTCGATTCAACAGGTGAAAAGCTTTTTTTTGTCTTAACTAAATTGAGGTTATATTATACGTTTCAAATATACAGTGTACTGTGACATTTTATTAGATTGACATTCTGAGGAACTGGGAGGAGGAATTCAAAGGTAGGATTAATGATTTTTGGCATCTCATACTTTGAAAAACACTTAAATATAAATGTGACATTTACATTTTCTGAAAATGTAACTGGTGCTTTCCCATTCAAAACGTACTGTGCTGGGGCCATGCCAATGTGCTGGGGGTTTCTGAGTGGTTGCCAAGACATTGCTATAAGGGTTGCTAAAGTGTTTTGAGTGATGGTAAAGGAGTTGCTATATGGGTTCTAGAGTGTTCAGAGTATTGTAAGTTAGTAAGTTCATTACTACGGTGGTTTTTAGCACATAGCTACTGTATGTGGTTATGTAATGGCTCGAGTCAAAAGAGTTCAGCTGCAAGTCTCGTAAAAATTCTTGTCCAGGGTGTCTACAGATATGAACAAGTTAAATTTAAGACTTTTTAAGACCTTTTTAATACCACCTTATGTGAAATTTAACATAGAAATACACTAAACTTAAACAGCAATTGATAATGTAATAAAATCAGAAGAATCATTTGCGCGTTTTGATGTGTGATTATATTTTGTCACTTAAGTTTTAATCAGGCTATTAGTCCTGTCGGGCAAGTACATTTAAGGCCTTATTTTAGGAAAACTTTATTTAAGACATTTTAAGACTTTTTAAGGCCTTATTTTAGGAAAACTTTATTTAAGACATTTTAAGACTTTTTAAGGACCCGCGGCCACCCTGTTGTCCCTAGGTTTGGCTCAAGCCCTTCTTTCAAAACTAAACCAAACCAAACAAAAACACCAAACAAGCCAAATCAAAACAAAACATAAAACACTTTCAAAAGCCAAGAAAACAAAACCACCACACAAATCAAACAAACCAAACAAAAAAAGCACCAAACAAATCAAACCAACCATACCAAATCAAAACTAAACACACCAAACCACCCAAACAAAACACAAAACAATACAAAACATAAAACACTTCCAAAAGCCACCAAACAAAACACCAGACAAACCACCAAAACAAATCAACCAAACTAAGCCAAAACAAAAAAGCACCAAACAAATAAAACCAACCAAATCAAAACTAAACACACCAAACCAAACCAAACCAAAACACACACAACAATACAAAACATATCACTTTCAAAAACCACCAAACAAACCACCAGACAAACCACCAAGCAAATCAACCAAACCAAACCAAACCAAACAAATAGCACAAAAACAAATAAAAAACACAGCAAACCAAATAAAAACAAAACAAAAAACACCAAAACAAAACAAAGTACACCAAACAATACAAAACATAAAACACTTTCAAAAGCCAAGAAAACCAACCACCAGACAAACCAAAACAAATCAAAACTTAACACATCAAACCAAACCACCCAAACAAAAAACACCAAACACACCAAACTAAAATCAAAACAAAACGCACTTCTCCCAACATGTCTCATTGTTTGAGATATTAAACAGGGTTAGGAGTTTGTTCCTCAAGTATGGCATCACTTTAGAGCTCACCTCTAAAAGCCCCTCCTCAGCAGAAATACAAGCCAAAAATACAGAGGGTTTGTGTGCGTTTAATGCTTGAAAAGGAGTGCCTACCCATGACCAGAGGGTGCGATGAAGTACAGACAGCAGTGCACTCGGCTGTCGGGCATCTGGCGTCGATTGACGCGTGACTCTGCGTTGAGGTAATCCTCAAACTTGCTGTCGATGTGATCGATGACGGGCTGCCAGCTACAGGACACACAACCGACATTTCAGAGTCAACAACATGCAAATGTAATATAAACAAACCAGCCATCCTTCATTTATTAAACACCAATATGAGGAGACTCCCAGATAACATGCAAAAAATAAAGAAATCACGCTTACCAGTTACTGTTATCCACAGCATCTCCGAACCCTGGCGTGTCCACGATGGTGAGCAGCAACTGAACTCCACCCTCTTTAATCAGCACCTTGGACTGCTCAACCTAAAAATTAAAAAATAAAAAATAAATTAAATAACTACTAGCCAAACACAAAAATTAAGTCACAAATGGCGATTTCCAAGTTCATTCAGTGCAAAAATAAAATAATAAAAAATGTTAATAAAAATAAATAAATAAAATAACAGTGATATAAAAGTAAAGCATGAAAAATAAAATAAAATAAAATCACTTATTTTCAATGCAATTGTATGTAGCCTCTATGTACTCAAAAACCAACATTATGTTCTGCTAAATGCCTTTCTTGAATGCCAGTTTTAAACACATGATCTGGAAGCTAACATTTGGTTGACAAGTTTTCTTATTGGTTGACAAGTTTTGTACTTAGGTATAAGGTGTTCTTGTTAAAATTTTGTATTGAAAATTGACAAAAAAAACAATTAAGACTTGATGTAAATCATAATGCTAACATAAAAGTCCTAAACTGAGAGCAGTATTTGACTGAAATATGACACAAAATAAGAAAATGAAGAAAACCCTAGATCTACATGAATTAGCTTTTTAAACACATGATCTGGAAGCTAACATTTGGTTGACAAGTTTTGTACTTAGATATAAGGTGTTCTTGTTAAAATTTTGTATTGAAAATTGACAAAAAAAACAATTAAGACTTGATGTAAATCATAATGCTAACATAAAAGTCCTAAACTGAGAGCAGTATTTGACTGAAATATGACACAAAATAAGAAAATGAAGAAAACCCTAGATCTACATGAATTAGCTGTTTTCAGAGAACTGTGGGGCAGATATGCAAACAGCACGAGGGCCAACACTCGTGACAAGCACATACGCTCAGGTTTCCATTCAATCATGAAGTCAATATCAGGGCCTGCAGGGCTCAAAACAACCATTCAGAGGTTTTCTGTTCACATTGAAGAGCAGCACAAAAGGGAAAGCAAAGATTTTCTCGTTCTAATATAAGCCAGGACATTCTGAACACTTTACCTACATTAATGTGGAACAGCTGATTTAACCAAAAGTTATTCAACTTTGGCATGAAACTTGCTCTATGGACATGAATGATACCTCAAGTCATGCTGAGAAACTCTTCTATTGTTACTCCCCTTTTCCCTTTGACTGACCACACTGGGGTCATAACATTAAGTGGAGCTTTAAATCGAAGGATCATATTTAAATATATTGTGAAGCAGTCGGCGCTCAACAGATTCAGCCCACATGTGTGCAACCTCAGCTAAAACAAGCTCAAGCCCACACCTTTCCATGTGCATCATAAAGCGGCTGTGGTCTGAGACTGTGGCTTCTGGGTTTGGGTTGTTCAGGGATGCATTTTATGATTTCCTCCTAAACAGCCCTCAGCGTTCCACAGCTCAGACGGACACCACAATTTACAAAAGCAATAAAAATATTGGTATCGGTACTCGGTATCGGCAAGTACCAAAAATAAAAGTATCGTATCGGGCGAGTACTGGAAAAAGTGGTATCGGTGCATCCCTAATTTTTATTTTATAATTTTATAAAATAAAGTTAACTTTTACCATTTAATCAAAATATATATATATATTTTTTGCATTCAAATGGAAGAAAGAAATCAATATGGGTTTAAAACATCATGAGGGCAAGTAAATACTGAAAGGAAAGTTGAATTTTTGGGTGAATATCATCCTTCTAAATATGCGCTCTCCCCCTCAGGTATAATAAAAGTAGCCTACTAAGGAAAAAACACGTAACTTGAGAGCACATTGGCAAATCCTGCTACATTTCTTTCTTCTCAGTGGAAGTGTTGTTTTCAAAACCATTAGCACTAGCTGAGAGGCCATGGGGATGTTTTGGAAACATGAGCGAGATGATGTGCTAAAGCGTACGTGCAGCCACCGCAGATCTGTCATTCTGTAAATTACCAACTCCACAGAAACAGGGAAAGAAAAAAGTCAGAAATGAGGCCAAGAATGCAGGAGAAATGGCTCCATCAGGAGGTGGTTGGCTGTGGAATGCAAACAGTCGTTTTGCAGGCGAGCGTGACGATGCCTGCTGCCTCACACCTGTTGCGGGGCGTGTGGAGGATTCCTGCGAGTTACTATCTGCAGTGAGCAGGTGATCTCTGATTCTTCACACTCCACCACTCTGCTCGTTGTGGTTCAACGGATCACAGATCTCACGGTTCGGATCACATTACGGTTTTTGACCCACGAATCGGATCATTTTTCGGATCAGCAAGAAAAGAAAATATTTCAATTTAACTTGCTTTCCATTTATTACTTAAAGCGAAGTACTTCTTTGATACCACAGCAAATACTACTAGATTAATGAAGAAAGTTTAAACATGATTAAAGAGACAAGAGAACAGCCAATAAAAATAAGAACAAATACACAAATTACAAGCATAGATAAATACAACAGAATATGTTACAAATACTGCTGAGCATTCCACTCATGTCTGTCTCTGACCTCACCAACATATAGTCATGTGAAAAAGTTAGGACACCCTATTGATTTCCATGGTTTTCCAGATTAGGACATAATACAAAATTATCTGGTCCTTGGCAGGTCTTAAATTTTGGAAAATAAAACCTCAGATGAATAACAACACATGACATATTGCACAATGTCATTATTTATTTAAAGGGGTCATATGACGTTGCTAAAAAGAACATTATTTTGTGTCTTTGGTGTAATACAATGTGTTTATGGGGTTTAATAACAAATTATTTTCCACATACTGTACATTATTGTTGCTCCTCTATGCCCCGCCTTTCTGAAATGCGTCGATTTTTACAAAGCTCATCGGTCTGAAAAGCAAGGCGTGCTCTGATTGGCCAGCTATCCAGTGCGTTATGATTGTGTGATGCTGTGTGTCCTGGCGCGACGAGACAAAACCAATAAAACCCATTACAAATGATTCATTTGTTGCATCCAGTGGGGACATAATTACGTATTATAATGACTTATATTGTCTTTTTACGCATTGCATTGCGTATCGCGCCACATAAACATAAAACCATTTGTCTGCATTTGTGAGAAACGACAAAAAACAAGCACTACACTACACTGCTCAAAACTCGTCATTGAATCATCAGTGGCAAATTCTTTAAATATGAAAACATACTTACAGGTTGTGAGTCAGAACAGTTGGCATTGTAGGTTCAGGAAACAGTCCTCTGTAAAATGCGTTGCACACACACGAATATTTGGGTTGAACTGTTCTGGAACAGTGTTGTAAATACAACTTAACCACTGATTTCTAGTCGTGTCCTCTTTTGGAAGACCAAACAAAGTAGTTTCGCTTTCACAACGAAACACAGCGTCTCCACGACATGGCGGCAGCGGCAGCAACAATACTACAGCGAGAATCAAAGTTACTCCTTTCTTTGCGTGAACATTTGGGCGGTGTTATGCAAATCTTCCCACACAGTGACGTAGACATGTGGGGGCGTGTTTAAACGAGGCGTTTTAGGAGGGCGTGGACCAGTCTTAACTTTTATAAAGAATATCTCTTTGGGTTTGAGACTTTAGTCTTTGCAACTTTAGGGATCGTATCTATTCACTAACAGCTTGTAACACTCCAAAGAGACTGTAAATCACCAACTCCATATAGAAAAGTATTCTAGAGTCAAATGTGAGGCCATCTGTCTGACAGCTAAAGCTTGGCAAAGATTGGGTCATGCAACAGGACAATGATCTCGAGCACACCAGCAAATCTACAACAGAACGGCTGAAAAGAAGAGAATCAAGGTGTTTCGATACCCCAATCAAAGTCCAAGACCTCATCCTGACTGAAATGCTGTGGTGAGAGCTGTGCATAAACAAATGCCCACAAACCTCAATGAACTGGAGCAATGTTACAAAGAAGAGTGGGCCAAAATTCCTCCAGAACGATGTGAGAGACTGATAAAGTCATACAGAAAATGATTACTTCAAGTTATTGCTGCTAAAAGTGGATGCACAGGCAATTGAATCATAGGGTGTGCTAACTTTGTCACCCATGGCTTTTCCATCTTTGCTTTATTTTTGTTAAATAAATAGCACAGGTAATTGAATCATAGGGTGTGCTAACTTTGTCACCCATGGCTTTTCCATCTTTGCGCAATTTTTGTTAAATAAATAACGACATGGTGTGATATGTCATGTGATGTTGTTCATCTGAGGATTTATATTCCAAATTTTAAGACCTGACAAGGACCAGATAATTTTTTTATGATACAGAAAACCATGGAATTCAATAGGGTGTCCTAACTTTTTCATATGACTGTATATCATACTGCTGACCTCTGACCTTTAATGCTCACTACTAGCAAAGGGGCAGAGACCTGGGGCCAGATTCACCAAACATGCTTCAGAATAAAAATCTTTATAACTGCCATTTTCTTCTTATTTTCTAACCTAAGAAAAAAAGTTAAGAATATTTTAAAATTGTTCTTAAGAATGTTTTAAAGAATTGTTTTTCTTAAGATTGTTCTTAAGACAAAACAGCCAATATTTTATTAATAGGCATGCTAATAAGCAACTAGTTAATAGTGAGAATTGGTCCCTATACTAAATTGTTACCCAAAACTTGATTCAAATTCTTGAAAAGAATCTTCTTAAAGGGGTGG